ATATATCTTATTACTTTTAATTTACTACATATTTATACAATATTTATAATAGTTAATTTAAGCAAGAATTAGATATTTATTATAACTCTTGGACTGATTTAAGTTTTGATCAAAATGATCAACAACCTGTACCTGATACTCTATCTATAGAAGAAGACCTACCAACTGAACAAGAAACCTTACAATCTATATCTATACAATCTTATAATATTGAGGATACAGAAAATACCCAAGATCTATAGAAAATAATTGGAGAAACTGTAATTGCCTCTGGTCAAGCTCCAGGATATAATGAACTATTAAATGTATAGAATCCTAATTCTTCAGATGAGGAGAGACTTTATACAATTTTTAGAAGAAACAAAGAACCTCCTATATATTACATTAAAGATCTAATTAATATTAGATTAAAACAAATTAAACATTTGTTAAAACTTAGAGTTAATCAACAAAGATCAAAAAAAGTTCTATTTATCTTAGATAATATATAACATTTTTTATATCCTAATCTATCTTCTCTTCTTCAAAATCTAAATAGAGACTTTTACAAACTCTATAAACTAAAACTAAGAAAGCTCAGAATAGCTTCTTAAACAAGTTCAGAGAAAAGTCAAACTTTGTTAATATATGGAAATTAAAAGATTTGTATTAACTGAAAAGTGTCTTTGTTAAAAAGTATTTTTTTTAATTTTGATTTTTATTATTATAACTATATATATTATTATTATTTATTATTTTTATTATTTTAGTATTGCTATTATTATTTATATTTCAAAAGAAAAAAAATTACAAAAAATTTATATATATATTTTATTTAGTCTTTTTTTAGTCTAGTATTTCTAATATTACTTTGTTATTTTTAAACAAAAATAGTTAATTAAATATTTTATTGAAAAACAACAATATTTGAAAACAAACATTTGAGATAGCAATAAGTCTTGTAATTAGCCTAGCAATAGCATAGAAATAATTGTTAAGCATGCTGTAAAATTAGATATATTAATTTTTGAAAATCTGTAAAACTCGTATATAGTCTAGTACTAGTGAGTCTATTAAGTACTGTGTATAATTTAAAATTTTGATATAGTGATTTTAAAAAATCTGTAAAACACGTATATAGCCTAGTACTGGTGAGTTTAATAAGTACTATGCCTCAGTAAAAAGTGTTTGTACAGAAATTATATTGTTTTTATTTAATTTTTGTAGAGAAGTATTCATATTTGTTTGAAATCTGTATAAATTTAAAAAAATCTTTTTTTAAAAAAGTCAAAATATCTAATTTTTGTATATATTTTGTTAAATAATTTCAATTTGTATAATGATATTATATATTTATTACAAATTCTTTATAAAATTATAACAAAAACAGTATAGATACTCATAATTGTATTAAATTTGTTATATTAATTATCACAGATTATCGTGAAATCGGATTATTGTGAAATTTGGATCTATTTTATGTACGATTTTTAAAAATTTTTAGGGCCTTTTTTGTAGACTTTTTTTTTATAGTTAAGTTAGGATTTAGGGTTAGAATT